AAAAAAAAAAAAAAAAAAAAAAAAAAAAAAAAAAAAAAAAAAAAAAAAATACTAAAAAAAATAAAATAAATAAAAATATAATAAAAAATTATAAAGAAAAGAATTTACATTTATAACACATACATATGTAAAACTACAAGCATATATTTTATTACCTTGACCTTTTCTTAACTGATTCGATGTGCTCATATTTGTTTTACCTTATGCAAATATTCAACAGTCTAATCGATGCAATTAATCGCAATGCCCAAATAGCCTGGAACCAAACTAATGAGTCGCACTCAGCCAGTCACTCGAACAGCTCGGTCAGTCATGGAGGGCCATATGCTGACTGCAGCACGGCCCTATCTGCAGCTGCTCGCGCTGTTGTCGCTGACGCCGCCGCCCAGCTTCTATGGGAGGGCTCTGGGGGGCTGCGAGAGGCGGCTCTGGATGCTCGGCTTCGGCTGCTACTGTTTCTGCATTCTGCTGCTGGGCATCGATGTGACCTATGTAAACATCAGAATACTCAACTTTGAAATTCTAATGTTGGAGGTCGAGGACTTCACAAGCGCCCAGGGCAAGGTGCAAAAGCTCTGCTACCCGCTGCTCTTGATCGTCATTCATTTCAATATGCTGATAAACTTTCGCAAACTGGGCAGCATTTACACGGAGATAGCAGCACTGGAGAGGGACATCGATGCCGCCTCGCAATTCTTTGGTGGGCTGGGAAAACGCCTCAAGTTTCGCCAACGTTTGGCTAAGCTGATTGGATTGTGGCTTCTGTGTCTATCGATTGGATTTCCATTGGTTTCGGTGCCCTCGCTGACCGAATTTATGGACTGGTACAACAAGATTTTCACCGAATTCATCCTAGTCATGTTTCAAATGAAGGTCGTGGAGTACGGCTTGTTCGTGCTCTTCGTGGAGGAGCTGCTGCTGCGTCTGCGCCACACGCTCATCCACCTGCAGCAGGAGTTGACCAACTGCGAGCACCACGCTCTGCTCCAGGCCTTGTGTGTGGCCCTCCAGCGCAATAAACAGCTGGTGTCCCGAGTCTGGAAACTGGTCGACGATCTGGAGGTATACTACACTTTACCGATGATCTTCTTGTTCATTAACAACGGCGTGGCCATGCTGCACATCGTCAATTGGGCCTACATACAGACTCTGAACCCAAACGATTGTACCAATTGTCGCTTTAGTAAGTGCTTCA